CTCGTGAAAATTTATAGTTTATATCCGATTCAACTTGATTGGAAAAAGTGCGCAACTTGATTGGGAAAAGGTGTAGTACTATTAATAGTACTACAGGTAGTACTGTACATGTTAATTAAGTGAAGTATAGGTACATGTACTACAGTAGTGGTACATAGTACTAGTATATGTTAAGTAGATTATTTACATTAATCAAGTGAAGTAACATTCAAAATGACTAGTATCCACAGTCAGTACATACTGTAGTATATGTGCACGTAAGTATATGTTACGTAAGTACTAGTATACTTTAATCAAGTGCAGTGCTAGTAACATTTAAATCAGGATACTCTGCCATACAAAATCGATAGAGGGATTTGACGATACTACAAAAGTAGTGCGCACTACGAATCGCGGAGTAATTGGACGATTCACAGGGAGACTGCGCCCAAAGCGTAAGCGGTATACAACTCGCAGTCTCTCTGCGTTGGGGTAGAGATTTTGGGCGATCAAGATGTTGTTTTTGTCTGTGCACACATACTTTAATCAAGTCCAGGTAACCGTCGAAAATAGTCATAATAATCTATTTCAAAATATTCCTTTCGTTTGATATGTCCATTATGAACTATGTATAGTAGTTTTAAATATGATGACAGTTGGCAACAATAGTATAATTTGACTGATTAGTCTGTACAGTACAGCTGTTGTCTTCCTGAGTACGAGTTCAGTACAGGTTAATATATACGAACGACTAAGTACAGTAGAACTACTAGTACGGTACTAATAGTAGAACAGTACATACTGAAGTACTACGTAGTACTAGTACTGTATGCGTGCAGTAGATTGTACTTCGAAGTATACTGCTATGCTAATCAAGTGAAGTACACTCCATGCGGATGTACATAAAGTAATTTTCAGTAACCTTGCATTCAAAGAAGGACTTGTACATCCGATCAAAGCATCATGCCAGTACTCCGTCTAGTACTAGAAGGAGCACTAGGGAAGGACACAAGATTTGATACTAGTACCGCATAGAGTAAGTACAGTTAATGATTTCTACTACAGTACAGCACTGTAAAGGACGAGATTTTACACTGTATACAGTAAAGTACAAGATGCTTACTACGAGCCGTAGTATACAGTACAACCGTACACCTACTACGTAGTAGGTACAGTAAAGACGTACTATTAATAGTACATACTAGTACTTCATGTATTGCTTTTAGGTCGTATCCGGACGTCGGGTGACTCAACAATGGTGTGTGAGCTGCTCAGGTTAGGGTTTGAAGAAATCCTTTGAAAACGCATGTCAACTCAGCGATTGGCTGATTGATTTCCATAACCTTTCGAAATACATGCCCACTCAGCGATTGGCTGAAGACATTTTTAGTTTTGAAAATCCTTTCACAAACAAGAAATCATCGTTTCTGAAGCCCACATAGCGCTTCAGGCCATGAGCACCTGATTTTTGTCACGTGCAAATCAACTACTTAGTATTCCCTGTCGCCATGAATGAGTTCATGGATATCCATGGATTTTCATGGATTCTCCTCTCTTGCAGTCGTATCCAGATGTCCGGTGATAGCACTATCACTGAGGACATGGCGTGTGTGCAAGAGATTACAGAATTGAAGATATTTTGATGATCTTGTTAAACTACATAATCGTCCAAGTCGTAAAGTTGGAGTTACACGTGAAGTACGCATCGTCACCATAACCAGACTTTGCATGACGAGTCGACTTGGTGCATTTCGCTACCAACCCGTCTACAAAATTATGATCAGCAACAGGGACATCAAACACCGCAGCACCATAGAGGAATTTTAGGTTCGACCGCTTAAGGTCGCCAGGGGCGTCTCGTGTCAGAGCTTGGAGTTCATGGAGCGGTCCATCGTCGTCTACTGCCACGAGGAACACGTTAAGCACCTTAGAGGCTGGGTCACATCGCTCCGTAAACACAATCCGGCCTGTAATCATGGCGCGTGGAGGTCGCGGGTCGCGGGTCAAAATATCTGCCGCAGCCTCTAGCGAGTCGATGACTATCAACTGCTGGCCCTCGGGGGTTTTGATCATTCGCTCCAGTACGCTTACACGACGCTTTGAGGCCAAGGGGGATGAGGTAGCGTCAGCCTCGGCCGCCTTGCGCTTTTGAATGACCATTGTAAAATGGTACAAACATATACAAGGAGTGTACAGTCTGTACATGAAAACGACGAAAAGATCAGAATCATGTTTTGTTGTCACACATGAAAAAGACGAAAAGATCATAATCATGTTTTGTTGTCACTATGTACATACTTCAAGTATAAATAGTTTCGAAATCAGAACCAGTTTTTCGCACAACTTGAATTATATGAGTTACACTACTCATACGGACGAGCCGGATATTCCTCGTAGACCTTCACAGCCAGCTTTTGACGCTTGGTAACCTCGCTTTCAAGGATCGCATCAATGGCGTTGATTCGACGGCGCAGCTCGTTGATTTCAAATTGGTGATTGGCGAGGCTTCGGTTATGCTGCATGATGGCGTAACCAGGGGTTGCAGTGTTCTTAGCGTACTGGATCCATTTTTGGCGCATTGCGTCGAAGCTGGTTGAAGGTCGCGAACGTTTCATCCATTTGGACATGTCGCATACATAGGCACGCACGTCACTGTCGTTGGGGCCACATT